TTTCTGGGCAACCTGATGCAGTGTTTCACCACCCTCATTGTAAAAAATTATTTCCTTATATCTAAACTGATGCTGCCCTTCTTTAGTTTAAAAACATCACCACTTGTCCTGTCACAGCAGGCCCTGCTAAAATGATGTCCCCTCTCTCTTATAGGCATATTTTAAGTATTGAAAGGCCACAGTAAGGTCCTCCCAGAGCCTTCTCCAGGCTGAAGAGCCCCAACTCCCTTAGCCTTCATAGGAGAGGTGTTCCAGCCCTCTAATAATTTTCATGGCCCTCCTCTGAACCCAATCCAACAGATCCATGCCTTTCCTGTGCTTGGGGGCCCCAGAGCTGAACACAGCACTGCAGATGGGGTCTCACCAGAACAGAGGAAAGGGACAGAATCACCTCCCTTGACCTGCTGGTTACACTTCTTTTGATGCAGCCCAGCATGCGACTAGCTTACACGGGTGCACATTGCTGGCTTATGTCCAGCTTTTAATTCACCAGTACCTCCGAGTCTTGTTCTGTAGGGCTGCTCTCTAGTCCTCAGCCTGTATTGATACTGAGGGTTGCCCTGACCCATGTGCAGGACCTTGCATTTGACCTTGTTGAACCTCATGAGGTTCACATAGGCCCACTTATCAGGCTTGTCCATGTCTCTCTGGATGCCCTGTCCCTCAGGCATGTCAGCTGCATCGCTCAGTTTGGTGTCATCTGCAAGCTTGCTGAGGGTGCACTAAATCCCACTGTCATTGATGAAGATGCTAAACAATACTGGTCCCAGTGTAGATCCCTGAGAGACACCACTTGTCTCCGATCTCCATCTAGACATTGAGCTGTTGACCACAACCTTCTGGATGACACCAATTCCTTATCCACCAAACAGTCCATCCATCAAATCCGTATGTCTCCAACTTAGTCCCCCCAACATCCTTCTCTCTATCTCAGAGGCCTTACGGAAGTCCATATAGATGGCATCCATAGCTGTTCACTTTTGCATTGTCTTAGTCACTCCATCATAGAATGCCAGGACTTCCATCGTTGCTAAGGCAGGACTTACCGTTGGCGAAGCCATACTGACTCTCTTGAATCACCTCCCTGTCCTCCTGGTGCCTTTGTGTTCAATCCTTGCGTGACATAATTTCAATGCTGTGAGGTAAGTAGCTGAAGACAAAACTGAAGTGTATCAAAAACTCTTAAGGTACAATGTCTCAGTTTGAAAGGCAGTGGATATTTGGTCTTGGTTGGCCTCGCATCAACCAGTGGGATCACAAGCACAAAATTGTGGAACCTGTATTTGGATTTGGTTGTTGCATAAGTGTCTGGCAGCGATTAGTCCACGTGGTTTGCTTTTCATTCAGGTATTCTGTGAGGACCGTGGTGGGACTTCTGATGTCTTGACGAAGCTAGAGTTCTGGGGGGTGAAGCTAGTTCATCTCTCCTTCAGAGACGAGATCACATTCTTATTCCCTTCGATGAACCCCTTCTTGGACTTGTTGATACTTCCTTGATAATCGTTACACCAAAGAAATAGGCAAAATGAGGAGATTAGAATGACAAATAAGCACCTTCCCCTCCCCTACCTTCAGGAGCTGTGTGCAGGGGAGGCACAAGAGCTGCCTGTAACACGTTGCCAAGCTTCTGCAGTGCTGAGAGATGCCAGACTTGTCCAGGCAGCCCGGTTCTGGCACTACTTGTACACTCCTGCTCTGGTATGCTCCGTGGGACCCAGGTTGGAGCAGCTGCAGTTCTGCAAGCTTGGGGTGTTAAGAGGGTGGTGGAGTGGCTCTTCAAGGAGCTGGATTTCTAAAATGGGCTGCAGGTTAAAATACTTCAGGAGATGCTACCGTAGTGGTAGTCAAGTTTTTCTTTCGCACGATGGTTAGTCATATGTTTGAGCTGATAACATAATGCTTAAGGTACTTTAATTTTACAGTATGGTATTTTCTGTTTTCTTAAAAGATATCAGAAACTTTTATAAAGCCAAATATTACTGAAGAAATCTATTGCTACTTGAGAATTTCTGTTTCCAGTATAAAGTTTTCATATTTCCTTTTCATATAGCCATAATCAGATAATGACTACTTTTTATTTCATAGTGAATTTTCACGTCTAAAGTCTTGGTGATGGATGTTGTGGATTAATATATGTACCTTATTTTATTTTTAGAAAGTCCAAGGTATACTAGTGTACATGGGCTGCAGTAGCAGCACCTATATGCCTTTCAGCTGTTGTAGCAAAATGTGCCTATCGTGGACGACAGAGATACATACTTAGAGTCCACACAACCTACAAGTCCCATCGGAGTTGAAGGACGCAGGAGCTACTAAGAGACTGCGAACCCCTGGCAATTTTTGGTTTTAAAAGTTGAGCCCTTTGCGCTGAAAGGTGGTGATTAATGCTCCGTTTGCGTGGTTCTTATGGTCTGAATATCTTACTGAAAGAAAAATGTTTGTAAATACTTGTTTTCTGTTTGTCTAACATTGTTATATTAAGAATATCAGTTGTGAAAGAAAGTTATTGTTATTTGAAAATATCTATGAAATTGTGGGAGAGAACCTATGATACTAGGTAAAATAACTAATTTTCTTTATGATAGTGCACTAAGAACTTTTTCTTCTGCTCTTGTCTTATGATAGTTATTGAAGAAAAATCAAAAATTGAAAACATTATTTAAGCACTTGATAGAGGTGATTTCATGATGTCTTTCATCAAGCCAGACAAAACAGTTGCAAAGTATTTTTTTGTAACTTATAATTAATTTCTTAAATATTTTGCAATTCCAAAGCTACAGTTTGGTTAATTCCATAGCTTACCATCTTTGTTAATATCACTGTATGCCTTGAAGTTTCTTTTTCCTGTTGAAAATGTATGACATATTTTTAAACCAGCAGCTCTTTTGACTCTGGTCATGTGACAGATGGAGATTTCTGTGTGAGGTGGAAGCAATAGCCAAATAGCCATACTTTTAGTCACATTTGCATTTGCATTTTTTTAGGCAGATGTGGCTTAGTGATAATTAGTAAGTATTCTAAAGGTGAATGTTAAAACAAACCTGACTTTATGAAATTATTTTCATTCCTTTTAGACAAGCGTTACAGGTTCTGTATTTAATTTTGTTGGTGGTCATGTGTACCTTTGGGTAAATTTAAGTAGACTGCTAAACTCCTGCTCTGCCTTGGTGGTAGCTGGTGAGGGAAGAGAACTGAAAATCCAGGAGCTTGAGTTTCATACTGATGCAATTAGTTGCTCTTGTGCTGCTAGCTACGTGTTAAGCAAATCTCCTTTCTCTGTCTCTTCCACCGCGCTGCCTCTGTAAGTTGTACTGTCTTAAATTGCATGGCTTCAGTTACGTTGGGAACCTTTGTTTTCTTTTCTCCTATTGCTGGGCAATAATCATAAGGTCCCTGATAGATTTGTTTATGATACTTTTTCATGCTGTACTTTGTGCTCTGCTCATACTCTGTGCACACTGGAAGCTGGTGCTTTTGTACCTTAGAGAACAGGGAGTAAATTTTATATAGACGACATTGCTCTTTGTGTATACATGAACAGATACTGACATTGGAGTTTAAGCTGGAAGTCCTGTGATACAAGGCATGAAAATACTGGTTGTGTTTTTGTCAGAATACTTTTTAACTGAGTTTGGCTAATGGCATTGTGATGAGTGAAGACTTATTCTCTAATAGAATATAAGAGAGATATTACGGATTTCTGGTCTTGATGTGGAGTGGAAGTCCTACCTCCACACAGGAGGTCATCAGTTACTCTCTTGTACTGTTTGGGCAATTTTTTTTTTTCTTTTTCATCTGAATGGTAGTAAAGTTTTATTGACACACTTCTGTAACATTTACTCATTAATCTTATTTGTACATAAATCCACATAATTGTCGTAATTGTCTGTTGAAAGAGTAGTCTTGTGTCATGAAACAGGTAGGGTGCCCTATTTAACTATTAAATACAAAAAATTGTTTACGGACTGTTAGTGCTTTGGCATGCCTGTGTTGGTCTGGAATCGTTCAGTTTCACATTCCAGGTAAAGAACTGGGCCTTTGGTACTTGGATGGGTTCTCTGTGGTTTGACATCTTTAAAGACAAACCTGAATGTATCCTGAAGGTAACAGATCAGGGTTTCTTTTGTGGGAACTCTGATCTGTGTCGCAAATCAGCTTAAATCAACTGCGTTTTATTTGTTTGTTCTTAATAGGGTTTTAGAACCGAGAAATTAAGTATTAAATCTTCATGGTACTGGAAATGTAATACTCTGCACCAAACGAATCACTATTTTGAAAGTAGTTACTAGATTTCTATAGTTATATGCCTGTTTCTGTCACTTTTTCTGCTGAAATGAATTGTACTTCTAGGTGTTCACTGAAAATGTTTGGGGTGTGTTTTAGTCATCTGTCCCTTTTTAATTATGGCTGCCTTGAAAATGAACAATTTTTAAAAAGCTTATCAAACTCCAGCAGTCTTGTGCAGCCAGGACAAAGATGTGGCCCTATCTGTAACATCTTTTAAGTGGTGATGGTGGTGTTATTATTAATGCCAATTCTTAAAAAAATAAGAGGCAGGGAGGAGGAGAAACCTTGCCAGAAGGGAAAAAAAAAAATATTTTTACTGAACTGGAGGAATAGGATGGTAAAACTATTGCATCACTACAGAGGGAAGCATAGCAAACACTGTGTGTGGACTTTCTGATTTTATAGTTTGACATAGGAAGGATTTTCTTTTGTGGCTTTTATGGGAAGTATGATTTAGTCTGGAAAGTCATATGATTTTAGTTTTCGGTAGTCCTACAAGGATCAGGGAGTTGAATTCAGAGATCGTCATGGGTCACGTCCAGCTTGGATGCTCTATGATTCTATTCCATGATTCTAAGCGTATGTTTACATTAGTTCCAGACTTGTGACTAAATGAAAGACCATTCTTGAATGTATTGTTTTGAAGTTGTATTGAGCATCAGATAGGTATGGAGCATAGTGCCACAACTGAAATGTAATGTTTTGCATTGTAGGTACAAGAACTATAGAAGTACATTTTAGAATTTGAAAGAACAAGTTTCTGCAGCTCTGGAAAGATATGGTATGTTTATGTTTTCATTTATATTGTGTGTATGCTAATGATTATAGTAACAATTATACTTTTGTTCCCTGATTTAAAAGAAAAAAGGTGAAAATATATTAAGGAATAAACACATTAATTTTTTTTTTGCTGTGATATCAGTTATGCATAGTTCTCCATCAAACTGAGTTAGTTGATTTTTTTTTGGAGAAAATAAGTACTGATGATATAACGTTGACAAATTCGCTTTTAGTTTGTTTTACAAGCTCAAGGTCACACTACTACCATCTATCTACTTCTCCATGGATTGGATAAAAATTGGTGCAGTTTCTGAAAAGTTTAGGTTTTTTCCTTGCTGCTGAGTGTATTTATAGTGAGGCTTCTAAAATATTTAGATATGACTTGAAAAATAAATTCGGAACTACTGGAAAACTTGGGCAAGCACCAATGTAAGTCAGATTTGCAAACTGGAATGTTAGGAAATATAGAAGTGTAACTTCCATTGGCAGTGTTAACATGAGCCCATTGCACATCATATCTCTCTTTCTCTAGGCTCTCTAGTCCATCCAGCTTAAAAATATGCATACATATTACAGTAAGGTTGGAACCTTAACTTGTAGTTATTTTCATTATAATTTTCTAACTTTATTCTAGTATAGTCCTGGTATAGTGGGGAAATACCTGATACTATGGAATAACTGCAGCACTCTTTACAGAGTCTCGAGTTCTGTAGTTCTGCAACTAGGTACACAGTGAATTTTTGAAGTGTTTTGCATTACTACATTCAGCAAAGCAATTATTTTTTTAACATTTTCTTTTCTACCATATTAAGTAGGTCTGTTAATGCATATATAAAGTGTTTTGTAGTTACTTCAACAGCTTCTTCTAAGCTATGTGTGTACTTTTTTAACAACTTAAAATGTGGGGAAGAACTCAGTAACTGCTGGATAGAGTTTTATGCAGCATGGGTTTATATCTAGATTTTTCTTTTGAAGATATTTAACATAGGAACGTATTTAAAATTTTGAAGTCTCAACCTCGCTATGTCTTTTTTCTTTTTTTTTTAAATTCTATTTTATAGGAAGCTATAGATAGGAGCTAAAGGGGTTAATTCTAAGCTGAAACTTTGAATATAGTGTGTACTGATTAAAATCTGTAACTCTCTTAAAAAGTTGTAATGTTACATTATCACAATCCAGATGTTCCCAAGACAATTGTATAGTTTGGTCCTTTACTCTCGCAGGCATCTGGCAGGTAGTATATATTCATTTTTGCACCTAGAGCACCACTGGGACCACCCACTTGCTTCTTGCTCTCCAGTTTCAATGCTAGTTGTATGTATGATGGCACTTCAAACCGAAGCCATTATTTCTTAATTGTGATTATTTCTGCTGGCTTCTTTTTTTCTGAATGTTCAACTGCTTGCCACTGTACGTATGCGTAGAATCTTTGTAATGGTGTACATTTCATAAAGTGATGAAGAATTCCCCTCTAATCCCCCACAACTTGTGAGTAATGAGTACTAATGGGACATCAGAAAAACTGGATGTTATGATATGGAGTTGCATGATTGCTTGGTCTTAATGGTGCTGGAGCATGTCCAAAAAAGGGACAGTGAAGCTGGTGAAGGGTCTCTGTAGAACAAACCCTGCGAGGAGCAGCTGTTTAGCCTGGGGAAAAGGAAGCTGAGGAGAGACCTTACTGCTCTCTACAACTACCTGAAAGGGGGTTGTAGCGAGGGGTGGGTCGGTCTCTTCTACCAAGTAACGAGTGGCAAGACAAGAGGAAATGGCCTCAAGTTGTGCCAGGGGAGGTTTAGATTGGATATTAGGAAAAACTTCTTCACCAAAAGAGTTTTTAAGCATTGGAACAGGCTGCCCAGGTTAGTGGTGGAATCACCATCCATCGAAGTATATAAAGATACCATCTTTATGTAGATGTGGTGCTTAGGGACATGATTTAGTGGTAGACCTGGCATCACTGGGTTAATGGTTGGACTTAATCATAAAATTGTTTTCCAACCTAAACAATTCTGTGATTCTAATATAAACTGTATATAAACATGCTGGTGAACAGAAAGGTGCTTTACATGGAAGGCTGCCTGAAAGTTGAGTGGTAAAGAAAGCAAAATAATAAGGCATGGGCAAAAGGACAGATGGAATAAGAGTTTAAATATTAAAGCTGAAGTGAAGCTGTAAAACTTAACCTGTTTGGAAAATAACTTAACTTGATACCTAGCCAGTAAAAGGAGAGCTACTAAAAGAAATTTAAATAGATGATTGGATTTCACTTTCTCATGTAGGACTGCTTTCCAGTCATAACTGTGTGTCATTTTGGAGGGAGTCTGAAGTAGCAGACATAACTGAGAAACAAATGATTCTACTGAAAAAAAAAAAAAGAGTGTATAGTGGAAGAAAAATCAGCTGTGGCCTAAGTGAAAAATGCAGAAGCTAAAGGTAATTTCAGGTCTTTCTTTTACAAAGGTGATTAAAGTACATCTGTGATCTTACAATATCAAACCAGTATCTGTTGTTGAAAAGAAAATCTATTGTCCAGAGTTGTGAGGGCAGTTGTAGAAAATGAGAGTAACACACACGTTTGGGGCAGGGGGGAGGGATTAGAAGCAAACACTGTACCTTACTCTATTACTATGTGATTTGTGGAGTACTGACAGTAAGCCAAAGTAACAAGATATTATGCAATGAAGCTTTTAGTTAAATCTATAGTTGATCTCTTTATATTGAGATGTGCTAAATTCTACCTTTATTAAACTCAGTAACTTATTTTTTACTGAAGTCTAAATTCCAGAATGACTCCAGCTTTAATCTGAAGATAGTAGCAAATTCGGATCCTCACCCAAAATAATTTGAGTGCCCACTGTCCTGCATGCTTTTGTTCCTACTGTAATTTGAATTTGTCAGCCTTCAGTTTCTAGTTTGGGGGGGGGGCCTATATGCTTTTGTTGAATTGGGAGAACTTTTAATGTATTTTTTCTGTACTATCAGAGGACTTAGTTTCTTCCAGTATCTTATTTATTAGTTTGATTAATTTTCCTGCTGTCTTTGTGACTCTTTTCTACTACTCTACTACTTCTGCAACAATTTTGAAGAACATTGAGTAATTGGGAGAGCTGGACTCAAGTTTTGAACGTGTCCGAAGTACTTTATGTAGATGAACAGAGCTTTCCAGGAACCTTTCCTGAGTTATATCTGTTGTTCTAGCTGTAATACTGGGAAAACATGTGTGTTTGCTCATCAGTTGTGACTGCCTTAGTCACTTGAGGTTGGCATTTTTAAGGATATAACCCAATTCCTTTGGTCTTCTGACTATGTGATTTTGTATTTGTTGTTATTAGTTGAATAATTTGGTTTACCAGACAGTGGAAAAAATATTCATGTAGGTGTCTCACTCTATTGCTTTTTGGAGCTCCGTGTGATCTGGTTTTATTAGTGGCTGTTTTGTACTTTGGGATCATTGATAATTTGACCTTCTATTAGTTGAACAAAGAAAACCTCTGGAATCTTATGTCTTTTCATGTTTTCTGTGTTGGAAGAAGCATGAAGGCAACAAAAATTGGTACTGCCAACCTTACCAAAAAGTCAAGTCTCAAACACGTCTATTGGTCTTTTTTTTCTTTTTTTCTTCCCTCCTCTCTGCACGTGGCAGTTAAGATTGAACTTAGGAATTTGGTGTATTTTCTACAATTTCCTATGGGACACTTGAATCAACCTCAAGTTACAAAAGGCCAACTTTCTTTCCTATTAGTTGTTGGTTCTTTGTTTGAAGTAGAAGCCAGATAGTGTAGTTCTAAGGGTGCCTTTTACTTTATAGATCATGTCCGTTTCATCATGGTACTCAGCGTCATAACGGATGTATCAAATTCATTCCTGGAAATTAGAGAGATTCTTCAGAAAACATAAAAAAAAGCTATCATTTGTGGTGTCTTCTTGAGCAAGGTGGTTATTTTTAAGCAACTCAAATTCTGGCACTAGGAGGTAAGAAAGATCGTGATGGTACTTTTTATAGGTAAATCAAGCCCATTTTCATTAGATTGTCAGAGGAACAATCTTAAAAAAACCCAAACTTGGATCAAAACTTACTCAGGTGGACACTTAAGTCACCTTTACAAAAGAATTTTTTAAATTCTTACAAATGCCACCTCCCAGGGCACCCATCCTTCAATGAGGTCAAGAAGTTGAATAAGCAAAGACACTTAAAAAATTCTTTTGTAAAGGTGACTTAAATTCTTACAAATGCCACCTCCCAGGGCACCCATCCTTCAATGAGGTCAAGAAGTTGAATAAGCAAAGCATTCCTAGACCTCAAATACTGGGTGTCACCTGCCAGATTGCTGTGCTGTCACAGAAAATGACCATCAGATAACACAGGAAAAGTAATAGGTTTAGGAAATGTAGATAAGTGAGAACTTTCAATTAAGTGATTTGTAGCTGGAAGGTTTTTAGCTGATTGCTAGCAAATAGGTATTTTTGTTCTCCATGATGTGTCTTTAGGTTCTGTATGTTGATTCTGGGGACCTCTTGGCTCATGTTTGTGATTCCAGACTTTCAAGATTAAGTGAAATACACAAAGAGATGTCATGAGGCTAGGCAACAGAGTTGCTTTTATAGTCCTTTTTCATGAATCTGAACTTGATTTTGGACTTCTTGCTCTTTCACTCGCTATTTATTTCCTCCCTCTGTTTGAGCTGATAGGAGCATTCTTTTCAAAAAATCTGCACCTCTTCCACCTTGGAGAAATGGATATTGTCTCAAACTACAGAATAAATGTTATTTATCCTCTCGATAAGGGCTTTTCCAAGCTGGACAAAGTTCTTCAGATACACAAGATCCATGCCTTCAAACCATGTATCTTGCTAACTGTAATAGGATTTTATGCATTCCTGGCGGAATCTCTCTCTTGTAAATAGTCACCAGGCAGACATAGATGTGTCTGTGCTGGAGCCTACCCTTTCTCAAGGAGCCTAGCAGCCATCTCTGGTTTCTCAGATGTATTCCACAGGCACAAATTTCAGCTACTCTGTGTGTCTTTGAAAGCCTAAACTGTAAACCATCCTAATCATGACAGTGAAGACCAGAGATATTTGTTTGAGTAATACAAATAAATCTCCACTCTGGGGCTGCTGTTCCTACCTTCTAAAAGGTAAGTTATAGCCAGGGTTTTTGTTGTAAAGGAATTTGTGTGACAGAAAAGCAGTTGGTTTAGCTTAGTTTCTTTCCCGTTCTCCAAAAGGCCCTTTTTTTGAGATGTTAGTGTATTCATCAGTATGGTTTCCCTTTTGTAAGAGTGCACTTTGACTCTCTTAGCAGTTTTGGGTTTTTTTCTGCCTTATTTGGGTCCAGAAGTCAAAATATCCTCTGTTCAAACTAGATTCAAAATAAGGGATCTTTAACGGGAGTCTCCTTAACCACCAGCTCCATGTTTCAACACTCTGGTCTCTTTGCCAGCAGACAGTACTCTGCTGATGCATGAATGAGTATATATATGAGTTATAGCAAAATTAATTCTTTCGTCTGTGCTAGGGAATACTTGCCAATCATATTCTGCCCCACAAGAGTGGCAGCAAGGACAGGTGGGGTAGGTAGGGCGAGAAGAAGATGGAAGGAAAAAGGATTCATTAGAATTTCTTGCATCTGGATTGTTAAAAAGTACCATGTGGTTTTTAGACTCCAGTACGGTAAATCTAATTTTAAGGTATATTACAACAGATTAGAAACGCTGCAACTACCTGATTTGAAGCGCTAATCAACAGTAGATTCAGTTTGTAGACAAAATTTGAATGAGTTAACTTTAGCTCAGTGAGATTCATGTCAGTTTGGGTTCTGCTTCTGTTCACGAAGCTGCTGTAGATTCCACGTTCGATGGTGTAACAGAGTTGGATTCGTGTTAGGCCTGGGCACAAACTTGTCTTGGCCATGATTGTGGAGCTGCCAACTCAGTGCACAGTATTTACCATTCAAAAAAAAATCTAATGTTTTCTTAACTCAACACTAACACTTCATGTGTGGACAGTTCACTGTCCACTTCACTGTGGACAGTTGTGCTCATGACTTTGTAGAATGTTTCGGGTTGGAAGGGACCTTAACAGTCATCTAGTTTCAACCTCTCTGACACAGGCAGGGACACCTCCCACCAGACCAGGTTGCTCCAAGCCCCATCCAACTTGACCTTGAGCGCTTCCAGGAAGGGGGCTCCCACAGCTTCTCTGGGCAACCTGTTCTCTCCTCCCATATGAAACAGCCTCTGCAAAATGCTGTTTTGGTAAGGTTGTGGTCAGCCTGTCATTCTACTAGACTTTTGTTTGAGTGGAAGACTAGTGTAAATAGCTTTTGTCTGTGGTCTGGGTAGACGCAAGTCTAGGTAGGGAGTGATTGACTTGGCACACTCTAGAAAATGAGCCAGTTGGACAGAATGTGGATTTCCCACAGAACGAGGTGGTAGTGATTACACTGCTGTCCTCTTCGACCAGCATACTAAAAGTTACTTGGATAAAGAGCTAGAAGGGTCTTAATTTCTAAATGAGTTTTAAAGAGTCATTTCATCTCAGTTCAGAAAGCTGAAAGAATTTAACTTTAGAAGAAAGAACTGCTTTATAATAGGCATCTGTTTCTTTAAAGCTATGGTTTGCTTTAAAGTAGACATCCTTAAACAATCAGAATGCCATAAGCAGTGTTTTAAGGCTTCTTTGGTTTGCATCAGCATCTTGGGTTTTGCCATTTGCTTTTCTGCACAGCTGATTGTCAGCAAACATTAATTTGAAAATCTTTACCCTGTTTGTCATTTAATGTTGACAGATGGGGCACCTTTCCACCTGACTTCTATTCAGTGAACTGTGTCTCTGGCAGTGACTCAATTAAACTTTGACAATGTACCTGTGAAACATAGTTACTAGAGAATCTCTGGTTTTGTTTCCCAGGTTTTTGATAGCCTGTGGCTTTTTTACTTATGTCAACTGCATTTGTGTTTACACTAAAATAATACTGATGTTAATAAAGTGACACTTTTTCTACCTCAAGGAATGTACCAAATGAAACTAATAAGCATCATTCTGAAACTAATACACATTTTGTTCTGTTGCAGAGTGTGTAGCAGAATGGCAAATTGCAGTAGAATGGCAAAAATCAGCAGCTGTTCTGACAAACTCTAGAAAATCATGGGCCTTGCTTGCTGATGAGTCGTTTCATATCTCCGACAAGCCGACAGACACAAATTGGCATTGAGAATGCTTGATTACTTATCAAACCTAAGACCCTACTGTGACACTCTTGTAACGGGTTGGACTGAAGCACAAAAGCTTCCTTTACTGAAATGTTTAAAGCTGTCTATGCTCTCTTAGTGCTTGCACCAGACTGAGGTGTGACCACGGGTGTTGTGGAGAGCTGTGGGTGTGCCCTCAGTAGCCCTTATGCACCTGGCTTCTGTGAGCCTTGTGCTGCATGGCAACCCACAGTTGTGGGGTTTCATCTGTGTTAGAGCCACAGGAATAAACTTCGTGGGTACTGCACAGAGGTCTCTCTTCATACCTACTGACTGTTTAGAAGAAAGTAAGCTAACTTTTATTTATTTACGAAATATGGCAATAGCATTTCAATTTTAATCAAAACTTTATAGTAACAGAAAGTGAATAATGCTGTTTGTGATATGACTCTCCATCAGAGGCCTTTTTTCTTTACAGGCTTTCTCCATTGCACCTAGGAGCCTGGGTGGGAGAGAGAACGAGGTGAATTCAGTGTTGAGGGTTATGATTGGAAATATTTTTATAAGTTAACGTTAGTTTAGAGTAGATAATAGCAGTAGGTAAGAGACTAACTGGTTCCTTTTCAGCCATGGAAGTAATCAGCTGGGGTGGTCCCAGGGCGCTCTGGGCACGAGTATTGCTGGGTGATCATTGGCTGCCACCTGCGTGACAAAGTAAAGGACCAACCCTTCAGTTTATACCGGTGGAGCCAGATCACGGGAAACAATTGACAGGTAAAATATGCTTTTGAAAAATTTAAGGGAGAGGAGCGAGTATGTGTGGTGTAAATGGAGCCAAGAACCTAAAAGACTGGCCACAGATAGCAAAGGCTGCTCCTGAAACTTTTATATGGCTTTAGTTTACTTTATATTGGGGAGAAGCACACAACAAAGCATAAGTTACATGTCACACCCCTGGGAACACAGAGCCTCGTTAGGAACCAGTATTAATTGAGCTGTAGCAAGGAAACAACAGATTTTCGTATTTAAAAATTGCAGTACATCTTTATGCACATGCTTCTAAATCTTTGAGTGGTTGTTTTCTTGACATTAGGTGCTTTCCGTTGGTCCAAGAGGTGGGTTTGGGTTTTGTTTTTTTAGACTAAAAATAAGTTGATGAATTTTCAAGTTCATTAGTTGAGTGTACTGTAGTGAGTTACTCTGGAAGTCTTAGAATACTGTTCAAAAATGAACTAATTTTTGTGCAGTAGGTCTTAATCTTGCAGATGAAACAATGCTTAGCATCAATATTTTTCTTCTGGTTTTTGTTTTTTATTTAGTGGACTGACTGAAAGTAATTTGTAAGGACTTTTAACTAAATTATTTTTACTTATTTAGAGTTGTTAAGCTTATGCTTAGCCCAGCGTGAGACAGGACTGGTGTGACAACTCGTGTTTTAATCAGTGACTCAAAATTGTGATCACCCTGATGTCACCGAATGGCCACAGCTTGTAAAAGGTAAGCCTAAAATGTATGGTGTTGGTTCTCACGATCATTTTTAGTTTAATGTTTACTTTAAAACTATTTCATGTGTGTGGCTTGAACTTAGTTGTATAAATAGTATTAAGGTATATTGTTTGTTTAAGATAAGTCAGCTGGCAAAGTTGACTTGCCCTCTTGCCCAGAGTGATTTTAAAGCTTACTTACCTTGTCCCTGCCTGCTTTTTACAGTATGAACACTGTGGTGCTCTGTGGTATCCCTCTTAAGAGCAATACTATCACTTAAAAATCTTTGGTGTTTTTTTACTCTCATACTGAAACTCTGTATAAATTGTTTATCATACTTAAACCATTTGTTCATTATTATTTTTTTTAAAGTATTTGTCCAGGAGGCTTAATGATGTTGAAATTTGTAGGCTTGCATACCTCTACTTTTCTCTCCTAGGGAGGTAAAAAGGGGAGTGGCTTACAGAATGGCGGAGTTGCTCCCTGTCTTTTTGGAAGTGAGACACCATTTGAATTTGCTAGCTCATACTGCAGTATTCAGATTAGTTGGTGTCTTGTGATCAGTATCTATGATATAATTCAAAGCTGAAATTTATAAGAGCATTTGCTCTAAGATTTTCTCTGAACAGAACTCTTGTTTTGGATTTCAAGCACGATGAAAGGGCATCTTGCCATACTATACAGTTGTTTTTCAGTACTGTTGCCTGCTCAGAGGAGTAACAAGGTATCTTGTTTGTAAACAAGTGGGTATTGTGAAATAGCTTTTCAACAGACAGCTACAGTTCCTGTAATTAGATTGATCTTCCACATTGTTTTAATGAGTACTGAAAGCTTGTTTTATTTGGTGCTTACAGTGTCATTTGAAACCTTTTAAAATCTGGTTAGTAAGTGCATTAATAGTTCTGCAAATCATAGTTGTGGTAGGTCTGCTCATGTTATGGAAAACAGTAAGCTGAAGCAATTTGATCCCTGTTTTCTGTAGAACCGCTTACCTTAGAGGACCAAAACTTTTTTTGACTTGGCTAGATGTTATTTTTTCTGAGCTTTCCTGAAACTTTGTCTTCTCTTACATTGTTTGTCTTATAGAAGAAACCTGTTTTTGCAGAATAATGTGTACTGAACTGCAGTGTCTGTTCAAAGCACAGATACAGCTCACACAAATGATAAGGATAGGAAAGAATTTGAATATACTGATAGCTGCATTGCCATGTCTGTACTGCAGATCACCAGGCTACCATTAAATGCAGTTTACATGCCATTCTGCTCTTTTTCTGCAATTTTGCTTAGTGCTGTGTATTTTAAAGGCCCAAAGTCATTAATGCTCTTGATGATTTTAACTATTTCACTTGTATTTTCATAGCAACTTAAAGCACTACTCTTACCCAAAGCTTTACTGTGCTCCCGTTTGGTCCCCATGTGTTGCCTGATCTAGTCGAGAGGTGCCGTCCCTGGCAACAGGGAGGCTGGATTAAAATGATCTCTAAGGTCCCTTCCAGCTTAGGCCGTTCTATGGTTCTGTGGTTCTATGGTTCTGTGGTTCTATGGTTCTAGGTTCTATGGTTCTACGGTTCTACAGTTCTAGGTTCAACGGTTCTATGGTTCTATGGTTCTGTTTTCTGTGACCGTCTCAAACTTCCAAGCTCTTTGCTCTCAGTTTCTCAAGTCCTGAATGTGAGTAGAGGAGCTAGCCAGTATGAGTATAAATGCTTTTCTTTCCACTACTACTCAAGCTGTACAGCTTCTAGTGCTTACACTTAGGTGAATAATTAGAAAAAAATAATAATTTGAGGCTCTTTTGTCTCTGCTAAGTATTTTGTGACTTGTTTCGGTCACTGAAGTGAGATGAAATTTTGATTTGTTTTGCAGTTCAGCATTAGTTTTGTCAGCAACTGTTTTGTCAGTACTGAACTTTAATGGGTAAGAGAGGCCTCATTTAGAGGAAATAGAGATCATTGTTCTTACATTGGCCAGGTTTTATGTTACTTTTCAGTTAGCAAGTATTTGCATATTAAGCGTAAGTGTAAAGCTAGTTGGTTACCAAGTACAGAGTTCCATCCCTGGGGTCATTTGGATTTTATAATTTACTGAAATATAAACAAATGACTTCCTGCATTCTGCATTATCTGTCACTGCATAGTGTCCAGATAGCCTAGGAATTTTAAGTTATCTGCCAGAAATGCCTTCTAGACATGGGATCTGGGAATACAGTACAGTTTGGTAAAGTCTAGAAAGTTGGTAAGATCTGGCATGTCAATAAAGGAACTAAAATTTTAGTAGAGAATTCAGAGACCAGTTCAGTTCTCTGTTCTGGGACATTACAGTAAGGTAGCACGATGAAACATAAGAGAAAAGGAAATGTTTCAGGCTGCGGGTGGAGATTTCCAGTAGCGTTTACAATAGTATAGATAGTCAAACACTAATAGAGAAATTACATTCCTGTAGAAAAGATTTTCCAGGTAAAGCTATGGCAATGTGTGCTTAGTTGTGCTAACTGAAGTTCTCTGGAAACTGTTGAAACCTACAACATGAGTTCTATTTGCAGATTTTAGCTCTCTTCTGTTTTGAGAAAGCTCTGTCATCATGAAAGACATTTCTGTTCACGTAAGCTACAAAGTTTTAGTGAAGTGGCTGTGCTTGGTTTCTACTTCTTCCACTTTCCACAATATATTCAGCATGGCACTACTGGGTAACCATACCAAAATCTATACCCAAGTGATGGTTGGGTAAGATTCTTCAGGATATGATATCAAAGCAGGTTAAGGTGATTGAAATCACAACTGCTGCATGTGTACTGCGTTGTCTCCTAGCTCATCTGACTACAGACTCTAATCTGGTTACAAGTTCATTGGGTAAGGAGAAGTCCCAAAGGGAGGAAAAAAGAAATCTGTCAAAAAAAACTATTAAATGTTAACTTTGATAAATCAGTGCTGGCATAAGGAAGAAGATGGGAATGAGGAGGAGCTAAACTGCTATGATTTAGTCTGCTTAAGGTAGTGTGGATATGGAGCTATGCTCCTTAAATTACTCTGTAAGTGAAGTCAAGGAGGTTGGCACGCTGAATGCGGGTGCTCTTTGTCTGTTCAGAAATGCAAGACTGTAACAGAGGTAGCAGAGCTTGTCCTGCTCTGGCAGCAAGGTTGAACTCGATGATCTCCAGAGGTCCCTTCCAACCTCTAACATTCTGTTATTCTGTGAATACCTACTTCGGAATATTATTGCCTGACCTGTTGACTGGAAGGAAGAAATAAAAAGCTACCTATGAGATTGTGTCCATAAATTCGAGTAGAGGCAGACATGAAATTTGTTTTGAAGTTCTGTTGAGACCTGCCTCTGAGCTGCTGCTTCTTATGAGTCCAGCAGTGCAGAGAATCTGTTTGTAACAGCTGACCACTGATAAACTTTGAGTATGCATTTTGGTCATAGAAGCGGTAATGAAGAATTAGCCCGGAATTGGTGCACTACGCAGCCTGAATACGGAAGTACTGCCAGCAGAATTCTTCTCTAATAGAGGGCTGCTGTTGCGTAAGCTGTGGGGGGAAAAAGTGCTGTCCTCTCTAGAGAAGTTTGACTTAATCACAGTGTCAGATTTTATGTTATAAGGTGTCTTCTGGAGTTTAATCAAATTAAATTAAACATGCAAATGCATAAAGGTTGGTGCTTTTAGTAGCAATAATGTGTTATCATCACTTTCTGACTTACTTGTTGTGCTAATAACAAGCAGTGCTAAAGGTTTTGTATCTGTATTTGCAGATCACCAGGAGAACCTCACTCTGAAAACATTGAAACTAGCCGAATGTAAGTAAATGAGTAGATGAGTTTGGTATATGTTGTTTAAAAATGGTTTGAACATATGTAAGAGTTACTCTTGCACCTGTTTAAAAAAAAAGGCGAAACTTGAGTAAACTGTGGAATTACCTTAGAAAATATCAAGCTAATTTGCTACTGAAGAATAATTTCAAGCCTCTGTAGAGATGATCCTTTTAGGGGTTCTTTTTTTGGTTTTTTTGCTTTTATTTATGTGTGGAGGTTTTTTGGGGAGGGTAAATGGGTTGAAAGGAAAGTTCAGAGGTTTAATTTAACCTGAACCAGTAGATGGTAGCATAATACAGTGTTGGAAATCATTAGGCTTATATTCAGACTTAATGATAGGGGTATAATAACTACCTGCTATTCACTAACCTCTTGCATGGGTTTGAAGACACTTCAGTATTGAGACACAATACCTGCTAATATCCGTTGTAGCAGATAGTTTGCTGAACAAAGAAAAGTCTGATTTGTTAAATCTGTATACTAGTTACTTCTAGAAACAGAAAACTAGATTTCTTTTGCTAAACAGTATTTGTGAAGCATCTTGCTTATAGTTCTGAATCTTATTTTTGGCTGTCTTCATTAGCCTGGAAGCAAGATTTTGATAGGTTGAAATGTTCATTTCAATTTCAAATTACAAAGGATTTCAGGAATGAGAGAACCAAAAAAAAAAAAAAAAACAAAAAAAAAGGAAAAAAGTTAATTGAGACTTTATTCTTCCATGAGTTAGCAAAGATTCTTTTATAGCTATTCCAGCAGTCCTGTCATAGAACTCAAATGGGGAAACCACAAACTCTGCTTTTCTGGCTTACAGCGCAAGTTTCAAAATAATAGAGGTTGTGTGGCCCAGTGGTTACTGGTACTTCGAGGCTTCAAGAGATCTGGGTTCATTTCTCTTCTGCCACAAACTACTTCTCTGACCTTAAACTGTCTTCTCCACAACCGCCCCCCAAGTGGTCTAGAATTTTACACACTGTGGGCCGAGTGCCAGTCCCAGGATGTTTTGCAGGCTGGGAACATAGTGTGAATTGCTCAAGGTCTTCTCTGCTGTAGCTGCCCAGCTTGAGGAGGAGCAAAGCTGAGGTGAGCCTCTCCACTCTGAACTACATACCTCACCTTAAAGAGTAGGAAAACATGGGATGCTTTTCCCATGTTTTCAATTCACTGCAGTGAAGTCCTTCCTTACACCAGGAGGTGGGACGATGAATTTGCTTTTCCCTCTTCCATGCCCTGCATTACAGAAGTGCTGCCTAGCTGCTTCCTTGGGACTACGGGTTGCGGGGATCCCGACCCGAGAGGTGACTGTCGCTATGTGGGCCTGTGTTGGAATATGTTGCAGGACAAAACCCCTGCTGTAGGCTGCTCTTCTGTTCCACTGGCAGCCCCCGCTGCATAGTGTTTTATCATTCCTGCAGCAAGTTGAGTTGGGTTCTTTTGTTTCTCGGCCTAGCCACGTGGGGGAAACTGCTGTAGACTGGCTGTAGTCCACTCTGGTTATTGTCAGTTGGAATACTGCTTTTTCACATGTTGTAAGGAAAGTTGTGTCAGAAACAAATACCTTGGCTGGCGTGAAACAGAGGTTCTGAGAATATGTAAAAAGGCAGTACAATTCTAGCAGTCTGACAATTTTTTGTGTGTGTATTTTATCCCCCTTAAAACTGAACCTGAAAACATAATCTATAGTAGCAAGCTTTTCTGTCTAAGATAGATGTGTGGCAGTCAAGCTGTGGGGATTCACATATTTGAGTAGTGCTTACACAGTATTAATGCATGGTATGCTTGCAAAACTAGATTTTTTTTTTTATTAAACTGTATCACAATATGATGCTTACATCATCTATTATAGAGAATTTCTGTAATCCTGCTGCATAGTTGCTTTTGCCACATGAGGTCGAACATCAGGCTGAGTAATAGTTGACCTGCAAGCCTACTGTGTAGCTTAAATAGTTACTCTGTTATTTACATTCCTATAATTCATTAGGAAATACATGGACTTACACAAGTAGTGTTGTTTGCACAATGAATAGTTAAGTTGGTTTTGCTCTGGTTGGCTAATGCAATTGCTTTGTTTCTGTGCTTTGCATTGTAGAGCTTTATACCAAGAGCATAGTCACACGTTTCACACGTGTGAATTAAAGTAAGTTAAAAAAAATTCTACTGACTTTTTTTAGATTTTTACAAAGCAAATTCTTCCATGGATAAGTCTTGCTTATCCCAAGCTTTTCAAATTCTGCTTCTATGCATGATGAACTTCTTGGTGCTAGCGCAGTGTTAGGAGTCTTTTTTTTTTTTTTTTTTTCATTAGCGTTTACTCAAGTCTTTGAAATTTTAAGATCAACTTCCTCTCCTATCTTCTGTAATAGGTCAGCTTTCTCTTCAGCACTAAATTACATAATTTTTGTTTAACAATAACTTGACTTCTTACCAGTTTTTCTGTTTTCATTCTGTGTATTGTCACATGTCAAGGCAAAGGTTTGGGTGTTTTGATGGCTTTCTGTGCATTCATCTTTCCTTCATTCTGTTTTTGAGGATGGGATGCTTTGTAACTTTGAAACTTTGCTCTCTCTTTTTAAAGTCATTGAATGCCCACACACCACCCTGTTTGAATTGTTCCTAGTTATAGTTGATATATAGTCATCTGACACTGGAGTAGATTTGATACCTGTTTTGTTTCCCTTGAAAGAATAGCAAAATAAAAATACTGCCACAGTCTCAAAATATACCAGAAAAAACAAATAAACACCATTGGAAATGTATATAGTAACTGTAAAAGTATTGGTGTTTCTTGACACAAACGTTCAGATGCCACCCTGGTGCTTTCGAGGCATAGAATGCCTTAAATTACTTTCATCATAGCTAAAACCACGGGTGGATTTGCATAACGTGACCATGGGATGTGCTGATCGTGGCCCCTCTATCAAACCTTGCCACATACAGGTATTTTTGTGGTATTTGCTGCTTGTTTTATTGCCATTCCTGGAAGGAATGTAAGAAGTATCTTTAATTACACCTGCAGCCTTGTACTGTGTTATACTATGAAGTGTGTAGGATGAATTTAAAAAAATGCTCTCAGAGCCACTTGAAGGGCATGATTTGGCCAGGCAGTGATTCCCCTGAGGAAACTTCATCAGTTAATGAGACTGCAGTGGCTCTACTCAAGAATTATTATTTTCTTAAATCTAGCAACTGCTTCAGTTAAGTGTCTATTTTACCTTTGCTTCCAAGAACAAAAGTGCAGTAAGATAAGTTGACTGAATTTTATAATGATTTGAAAGAAAAGGAATTCCAGATTTCGACTAGAAAATGCAATCAAAGTAAATATATTGTAGACCATGGTTCCCATAATGCTTAGAGGCTGCTTTAAAATCTTTGGAAAGCTTAAAGAGGAGGTATTTCTCTCTGGAGCTGTGTAATGCACAAATGCTAGACTGTTCTTAAAGTGGAAACGCAGGTGTTTAAGTCTTACAATCCATGTTATTTGCGCTTAGCTTCTGCGTGATCATGGTCATCCTTCTAGGACAGTGTCATGCAGAATGACGGCATAGTAAAAGAATGCTGCCATGGAAACCTGACTTGAAAAGGTACTGGAGTTTTTCATAACTTGAAAAGAGAGTTGTGTGATTGTCCCTTTGCTGTATTAGGCCTTTTTTCTTTGAGTTATCCAGGGAGAGTACAAGGTTGATCAGCATTTAAGTCTCTTCTCTGCAGGCCGGTCTTACATGTTAAAATGGTCAGTCCTCTTCTTATGTCAACATTTTTGGTCTGAAATATTTTGTCTCTCATATCCTGCTTTCCACTGAAACACTCCAGTGGTACAGTAAATAATAGGACTCGTCTTTAAGTTACTGTGTATACCTTATATCTCACTGCAGTAGTAATAGTAATCTCAGTGTAATATCAATCTGCAGTAGTAATATTAATCTCAGTGTGTAAGCTTCATACTTGACAAATTTAAACTTGTTCAGTAGAATACAGCACAAAGTTTAACTGTACTTCCTTGAGCGCTAGACTTGCTTTAACCAAGGGAAAACAACATGGAAGGTACTAAAGAGTAAGTATTATGTTTAGTAGTTGATAAAATACTATTTTTATTTTTTTTTTGTCCTGAGTATAAAAGACAGACCGAAGGATTCCTGCAAGTATGTGAAATTATTGGCCCTTTCCAATAAATTTCTTTCCAGTAAAGACAAAGTTGATCTTACTACGGCCTCACGACCAGTACAGAGTATTGGAGTTTAGGACTCCTTACTTGGTAATTTAAAACAATATTTGGAGAACAGTTGAAATGTTTTGCATTGTTAAACATGATTATTCTTTGGAAGTTTAATAGCTGATAACAATAGTGTATTTTTCTTTAAAATACCAAGAATAACAAATTTGTTCTATGAGTAACGTGTTGTAAGATTATAGGCAATCATAAACTTGGTAGTAAGTTACTTTTCTTTGTAGTTAATTTATGGACTTTTTTATGAAGACTCTTTCAAAAGGCACCAATTCTGTAAACATAAGCATAGTATTTACAGTCAAATATGCCTTCAGTCATTACCATTTACATCTGTTGATTGCTTATAATAATTTCCTAATAGTTGTTTCCCTATAATTAATTATGGCTTCAATCATGGATTGGTTGAGGGGGGGTGGAGGTTGGGATGGAGGGGGGTGAATTGGGGATTTCCTCAAGTTGCTTGGGTTGAAAAGCCAGGATGTAACTGATGCATTAGTCATCTCTCAGTTTTACGTCTAACTCAATGTTGAAGGGATCACGTGGGTGACAGGACCCTGCATGCCCCCTTAACAAGAATAGAGCGGAACCAGGATGGGAAAGCAGTTGATCCATGGACTGACATTATCTTTACAGTGTCCTGGAGCTAATAACCTGAAGGCGAAAGGGCAGTCATGAAGCGTGGTTTTCTGATAGGGCTGTAGCAAAGTAATTTGTCTGTGAGACAAGATTGAGGAACACGCTTAAAGTGTTCTTGACCCCCTCT